TCAGCGAAGCCCAGAAGTTCAGGTGGAGCTTATAAATGCCAAGAGCTCATTAGTAGAAACCGCCAACAGGTCAGATGATTAGTGAGGAAGAGGGCATGAAGATCCACCATCTTCACAGTACCCTCCCCGTACGATCGCCTCCAGGCGATCTAACACGCTTCTCAGGATGCAGTCTATAATAATCAGTGATCAGGGAGGGGTCCAGTATGGAGGCCCTGGGAACCCAGGAACGTTCCTCAGGGCCGTAACCCTCCCAGTCCGCCAAATACTGTAGACCCCTCCCACAATGTCGAACATCCAGAATGCGATTGACCGTGAAAGCAGGCTGGTTGTCAATGATCCGGGCAGGTGGAGGGGGTTTGGTAGGTGTCTCAAAGGACTCTCAGTAACTGGCTTGACCTGAGAGACATGGAATGTTGGATGAATGTGCATAGAGGCAGGTAGGGTGAGACGTACCTCTGAAGGGTTGATGATTCGTTCCACAGGAAATGGTCCAATGAACTGAGGAGCTAGTTTCCTCAGTATGTCCTTTAGTTGAATATCTCTAGGGGACAACCAGACCCTTTGTTCGACAGTGTAGATGGGGGCAGTGGAACGGTGCCTGTCAGCCAGCCTCATTCTGCTCAGCAGTTCTTAGTAAGGTCCTTTTGGTCTGTTTCCACAAACGCCTGCACCTGCGTAGATGACACTGAACAGAGGGCACCGCAAACTCACTCTCAACCTCAAGAAACAAAGGAGGATTGTAGCCTAAAGAGGCTTTGAAGGGTGACAAACCAGTGGCTYTGGATGTGTGTGTGTTGTGAGCGTATTCGACCCAGGTAAGATGTTGGCTCCAGACAGTGGGGTTACTACTCACAACACATCGAAGAGCTGCCTCCAACTCCTGGTTGCTCCTTTTTGTCTGCCCACAGGATTGGGGGTGGCGTCCAGACGTGAGGCTGACTGTGGCTCCTATGGCATTGCAAAAAGCTCTCCACACTCGAGAGACAAACTGGGGCCCACGATAGGACACAATGTCCAGAGGGATACCATGAACTCGGACCACATGTTGAACCAGGAGCTGGGCCGTCTCAATGGCGGAAGGCAGCTTCGGTAGGGGGATGAAATGGGCTGCCTTAGAGAAACGATAAACCACAGTTAAAATGGTAGTGTTACCCTGAGATGATGGAAGTCCAGTTACGAAGTCCAGTGGGACATGAGACCATGGCCATCCAGGAGTGGGTAGAGGTTGAAGCAGGCCGGAGGGAGGACGATCGCTGCTCTTGTCATGGGCACAGGTAGGGCAAGCAAAAAAAACTCTTTGACATCTGCAGATATTGAAGGCCACCAAAAATGCCTTGCTGCCATAGATAACATACAGTTAACACCTGGATGACAAGAAAACTGACTGGTGTGCAGCCAATCCAAAACTTTACTCTTAACACRGGAGGGAACATAGGTTTTACCTTGMGGACCTCCACCAGGATCAGGCTCAGTTGCTTGGGCTTCTTGAATGATTCTCTTAATGTCCCATGTGAGAGCGTCCACGAAACAGATGAGGGGTAGAATATGGTCCTCTTCCTTGTCAGTTTCAGAGTCGGCGAACTGGCGAGGTAGTGGATCCGGCTTAACATTACGGGTTCCTGGAATATAGGTTATAGTGAAGTTAAACCGCACAAAAAACAGAGACCATCTAGCCTGYCAAGGATTTAATCTTTTTTCAGCCTGCAGGTAAGAGAGATCCTTATGGTCTGTCCATGCCAAAAAAGGCAACTCGGTCCCCTCGAGCCAGTGCCTCCAGTCCTCCAAAGCCAATTTAATGGCCAACATCTGTCGATCTCAGACATCATAGTTTCTCTCAGACGGGGACAACCGTCGAGAAAAATAGGCGCATGGGTGAATCTTTTTGTCTTCTGAAGACTTTTGTGACAGCACCGCACKAACACCAGAATCAGAAGCATCCACTTCCACTATGAACTGTTATTGAGGCTTTGGGTGTTTAAGAATGGGAGCAGAGATGAAACGCTTCTTTAACTCACCAAATGCAGATTTCAGCCTCAGGAGTCCATTTGTAGGTCTTTAGTGTCGATGTTAGTTTGGTAAGTGGAGCTGCCACACAACTGTATTCCTTTATGAAACGTCTGTAGAAATTTGCAAATACAAGAAACCTCTGCAACTGGCGTCGATCCTTGGGTGCAGGCCACTCTGCCACAGCTTTGACTTTATCAGTGTCTGTTTTGAAGAAACCAGCAGTTGCCCTTTGTTARGGACTCAAAGTTCAAAACTTTTATGGACAGAATTTCTAGGAGCAGTCAAGGTGTTGATGGGATCCTTTTTGGTGACCTTAGGATCACATCTCTGCTTTTTGTGGATGATATGGCCCTATTGGCTACATCAGATCCTGATCTCCAGCTCTCACTGGAGTGGTTCACAGCTGAGCGTGAAGTGGCCGGGATGAGGATAAGTGCCTCCAAATCCCAGACCATGGTCTTGAGCTGGAAAAGGGTAGGGTGCCTTCTCCAGGTCGGGGAGGATGTCCTACCCCAAGTGGAGGAGTTTAAGTATCTCGGGGTCTTGTTCACGAATGAGGGGACTATGGAGTGGGAGATTGACAGGTGGATTGGTGCTGCGTCTGCAGTGATGTGGGTGTTGTACCGGTCTGTTGTGGTGAAGCGGTTTACCAGTCAGTCTATGTTACAACCCTCATCTATGGTCACGAGRTTTGGGTAATTACCAAGAGAACGAGATCACAGATACAAGCAGCRGAAATGAGTTTCCTCTGCAGGGTTCTGGGCTCTCCCTTAGAGATAGGCTGAGAAGCTCAGTCATCCAGGAGGGACTCAAAGTAGAGCTGCTGCTCCTCCACATCCAGAGGAGCCAGTTGAGGTGGTTCATCTGGTTTGGATGCCTCCTGGACGCCTCCCTGGTGAGGTGTTCTGGCCACATCCTATTGGGAAGAGACCCAGAGGAAGACCCAGGACATGCTTGAGGGACAATGTTTCTCATCTGGCCTGGGAACACCTTGGGATCCCCCCAGATGAGCTGGCCCAAGTGGCTGGAGAGAGGGAAATCTGGGTCTCTGTGCTTAGGCTGCTGCCTCCAAGACCAGACCCCGGATAGGTTCTGGTTTAGAGTTAGAACCAGTTCTGGTTTAGAGTTAGAACCAGTTCTGGTTTAGAGTTAGACCCAGTTCTGGTTTAGAGTTAGACCCAG